ATATACCATTCGAAATGAGTAGTTTTATTCGAAGTAACCTATGTCTTTAACCCTCGGTTACTGTAGTGGGATCCGCTTGGACCCACTTTACAGATTCTCGTCTCGTACTACATAACTATTTACTGTTTCGAGTCATTTGTCTCATGTAATCTGTAGTCATTAGTAGATGTATAATATCCATATGAAAAATCATGCCCGTATTTAAGACAGAAAAAATGCGGATATGGGTTCACGCGGACCCCAAGACACTAATAATGATTTAGATATGATTTTTCGCTTTTCTATAACTGCCACCTGTTGCGTATCGATTTGTTTTCAAATTAAATACGTTCTGATTCGCTTGCACGTTCACCTTTCATAATAGTAACTCACATTTTTTTTGTAAATTGCTAAATTTTCTCTACGCTTTGATAAAAACTAGTAAGAGTCAATTTTTTTTCTTCGCATCATGCGTTCTTATATTGCCTCTATAACAAGCGATGAATAAGTCGGTAGAGAAAAGAGGTACCTTACGTAAAGCAAAATCATCATTTTCTGTAACTTTTACGAGGTGGGTCTGCGCGGACCCCAGGACACTGTTCAAGTTATAAAATGAGGACGGTAACCGAGAGTTAAGAAGTGGGACATAGTTTATAGATTTTTTTCAACTCGACAAAAACGATTCATAGTTCTGTTTTGCATGACAATTTCAATAAGACACATTTTTTTATTTTTTAGTTGTTTTCTAAATAATTTCGAATCACTTCTTGCTTTATTTATTCCAATTGCAATCTTTATCTTCCTTTTACTTATATTTGTATTGGCTGCTCGTATTAATCTAAAACGTTTAACTAAAGAAGCAATACGTTTACGTAATATACCAGATGAAACAGAAATTGAACCAGAAACAACTAATGATAATGATAATGATGAAAATAATTTATCATCAAAACCAAATGAAACATTACCAATTATAATTCCATCAAATAATCTTAATATTGAACAAGGATTAGCACATATGGATTGTCGTCAATCACATTTAGATAGTTTATGTTCATCCGATATGGATCATCAACATCAACCATCAAATCAATTAATATCGATATTATTTCAATTATTTCTACTGATTTTTATTTTTCTATCATGTATAGCAATTTATATACATCCATTACAATCCTATAATATACCATTTGAACATTCAATTTATAATCATTTATATGGAATATTTGTTTTATTATTAGCATTTTATACATTGGCATTTTATATCTTAACACGTTCTGATTTAACAATGCATTGTCAATATTATAATTGTTGTCCAAATCGAAAGAAAAAACGTTTATTAAATCAATCATATAGTGAACCACCACCGCCACCGCAAACACCTCAATTATCACCATCACATCCAATGATAATATCATCAAAAGAAAATGATGATGAAAAAATCATATTAAATCAAAATTTAAGTGGTGATGAATCATTTACCGAACAAATACCACCACCATCACCACCACATTCACATTATTCATCAAGTCTATATCAAAGTCAATTAACACAAAATAATGAAATAGCAGCATTAACAAATGGTCAGACATTTGGTTCAAAACATCAAGCAACTATTGCATCAAAATATTATGCACGTCATCGACATATACTTAAAACAAATACATCAAGTAGTGAAATAAGTTTACAACAAAATGAATCAATTCCTCATTCAACATTAAATGCTATTCAACAAGAGTAAGTCTTAAAAATAATTTTTTCTCTATTGTACTTCTACTGCTTTCTAAGTTCAAATATACTTGTTAAAAGAGGGGGGGGGGGGGCGCCCACCGGCAAAAATCGTAGCTGTATATTTTGAGATGGTCCGGGTGGGCGCTGGACGAATGCCGCCCATCAAAAAAATAAAACCTAGATAAAACATTGCTTCTATGTTGTCAAATTGTTGAGCTTTCTTCTGTTTTTGAGTCTGATTAAGCATTAATACATTATCTATTGTCTTTTGTTTTCTTAGATCTCCTACATATATTGATAAGCAACAAATACAATCGAATCCACATTATGCAACCTCACCTAAAAATTTAATTCATAGTCCAAAAATGTCTCCTTTAATTCAAAATGGCAATACACGAGTAAGTGTTGTTAAATAGTTTTTCATGCGAATTAAATATTATTTTCTATATTTAGTATAATTTACCATCTGTTGCATCTCCTCGTACATTCATTCGTCCAACTACATTATCTCTTTCACCTCGTCCACAATTATCTCCATCACAAGCAATTATTCGTCCATTACCAATTATACGTCTTTCGTCTCCAAATATTAATAAAATATATTCAAATCCTTCATCAACAATGACAACACCAACAACAACAACATCAAATGGTCGAATAAGTCCAGTTGCTGAACAAAATAGTGGTGGTCGTAATTCCTATCGTGTTATGCCATCACCATCAACTGAAGAACGTCAAGCAACTTATGTTTATTTAAATAAAAATTCTCATCTAATTCAACAAGAATCTTCAACAAAAGAAAAACCATCTATTTGGAAAAAACCAGTTAATGGTCATCTTCCACATGTTGCATATATTGATGAAGATGATGAAGGTAGTGTTTCACTTAAATCATCTACATGTG